GTTTGAACCGCCAGCCTTCTGGTGAGCAGTCAAGTGCCTTAGGCACTATGCTACCAGAGCTCCTATGAAAGCACTATGTCCCTATCACCAACTCTCTGCCTCTCTCTTTCTAGCAACATACATAAACTTTTAAGTGCTTGCCAAACAGACCACCAAAAAAAAAACGTACCTTGCTATTACTTTTATTTGGTTTTTGTTCATCAGTGGCAAGATTGAGCATCTTTCTATATGCTCCTTGAGCTACTACTAGCTTACACTCTTGGACCAGACCCCTTTACCAGTGCCCCTCTACCACTGGTCAATGTCCCCATCTTTATTGGTCACTCACATACCTTCTCCTGAATCTGGCCCCCAATGTTCCGCAGGGCCTCCTGGAAAACTTTGTTCTTGGGCTCTAGGCTCACACATCTCTGTAGATCAAGGACAGCCTGGTCCAGGCAGCCCAGCTTCTCTAGGGCTTGGCTCCGCCGGTAAAGTGCTTTGACATCCCCGCCGTCCTTTTCAATGGCTGAGCACAAACAGGATCTCTGTCAGCACCCATGAAGGCACCGTCATCAGGCAAGAGCAGTAGGGAAAGATCTCGAGGGCCAGAGGAAGGAGTGGGGACGGATGCAGGGCTCGATACTTCAGTCTCAGAAAAGGTGAGGATAGCTGTAGAAGAGGAAATGCCCAGGAAACGGGAAAGAAAGAAGGCAGATAGATGTGTTTCAGGGGCCAAGGGAGGAGATGAGTGTGATGGTCCCCAAATCTTTGCCCATCAAAGAAGCCTCACAGCTCCACATGGGAGCCCACATTCCCTTACCTTTGGATGCCTCGGTTTCCGCTTTGCCATAATCTTCCTGTAAGAGAAAGAAAAGAGCCTGAAATCTTGGTCATCTCCCTTTCGGGCAGCAGAGGAATTCTTGGTGTCCAGAGTCATCAGCTCCTCCACCACCCTGAGGCCCAAAAGACACCTATCTCACAAGCATGGGTGTCCCAGGAAGGTAAATTCCCAGCCGGGGCCAAGCAATAACCGAGATGGGCAAACCGGGGACCTCATAGGGTAGGGGGAGCGTGGTCCGGATCCCTCACCAGCTTGAGGTGGCAGGCGGCCCGGTTCCGGTGCAGAATGGCCTGGTCCTCGGGCGCTGCGTCCAGACTTAGGGCCTGAGTGTAGGCGGCCAGGGCGCCATCGTAGTCTCCACATTTGAACAGCTCGTTGCCCTCCTTCCGCAGCTGCTCCACTGAACTGGCCTGTGGCAAGAAAGGGGGTGCAGACGTCTAGGGTGGGAGCAGGCCAAACTGGGAGCTGGGGAAAAGGAGGGTGGGGATCAGAGTCAGGATTGGGGGAAAAGGAGGCTGGGGTATGCCCAGGGCAGATGCGAAGAGGGGTGGCGCATGGGGCATGAGTACGCGCCCCAGGGGTAGCGGGCGAAGGCTCGGGGTCCCTGGACCACTTACAGTCATCGCGGAGCCGACGACCCGGGCCCGCGCAAGCGCAGTTTCTGGGGCGGAGTGGGTCTAGGCTAAGGAATCCGTAGTTGCTTGGCCAGCCCCAGCCCTGACTCAGAAGCTGTGGCAGGGTAGGGGCGGGGTCAAGGGAAGAGAGCGCCCGGAGGAAGGGGCGGGGCTCTGGCCCGGATCCTCGGGCGCGGAGAAGCTCTGGGTGCACCTAGTTTGTTCCTACAGGGACCTGCAGGGGGCGCGTGGTGGAGGACGGAGCGCGCGGCCCGCGGCGGCCTGGGCTCCGATGCAGGCAGAAGTGCGCGAGGTCTGCGATGATCAGAGCCACCAGTAACAGACTGTAGAGGCCCAGTGCCATGAGAGGGCCCGTGCCCCTGTAGAAAAGGAGAGACTATCAGGGGCCTTTAGACTTGATTCTACAGCCTGTGAATTAGACCCCCTGAAAGTTCGGGACCTCCTCCCTGGACAAACTAGTCAAATCCCTTAGGCACTAGGCCACCAACCCACTGCTGTCGAGTCGTATCCGACTCATGGCGACCCCTCCTTGGGTTTCCGAGGTGGTATCACTACGGAAGTAGATTGTCCAATCTTTCTTCCGAGGAGTGACTGGTGGATTTGAACCGCCGGCCTTCTGGTTAGCAGTCAAATGCCTGAGGCACTATGCTACTAGAGCTCCTTACTACACCATCAGAGCTCCTTAAATATAGACATGCATACACACAAATATTTACATACAAATTCAGGGCTCACCGGTACTCTGAACAAATCTATGGGCAGATTCAGGATTTAAAACTACTGTATAGTGTGTATGAGTAGGGTCTGACTCAACGGCACATAACAACAACATACCATGTGTAAATCTACAGACCAAGATCTTCTCAGACTTATCCTCCATCCAACACACATCCAGTTACCCGCTGTCACAGCCCCCGAACTTTTTCTTGACCTAATTGTTCGTAACCATGTATTCACGTGATTTCCTGTTTAATAACTTTTCCTTCCCTAGTCTAAGATACAAGGCTTCATCCTGGGATTTAGGAACAGAATCGCAGATCCTGGAATACGCTGTCAGAGTCCCAGTGGGTCTTTGGTTGTTCCCCCAGCTGGAATTCTCACCTGAGAATGGGTGGGGGCAGAAGGGTGGACACATTGACCTGGTATAGTTCCTCAAATTCTGCCCGTGTGCAGCAGGTGCCCCCTGCAGCCTGCAGATGGCAGCAGTAGGCTTCCTCTGGTGTATCAGAGAGCCTAGGGCAGAAGAAGCCTGGATAGCGGCGGCCATCAGCATCCCGGGTGGTCTGACACAAGTGCGGGTGGTGGGCCAGTGCTGAAGGGAGGGGGCAAAGGGACTGGAGACAAGCTGGAGTGATCTGCCCACATCCCACCCCACCCCTTCCAGAGAATGAAAGGGATCAGTCAGTCCCAGAGGGGCAGGCTCCCTTCCTCCCCTCCCCAGTTGCTCCCCAGAGTAGCCCATACTACCTGCTGAGAGCAAAGGATGTTGGGGGAGGCGGGTAGGTGGTTAACTAGGAAGTGCTGTACCTGAAAGAGAGGTCTGCTGGGCTAGGGTCACCCAGCTGAAGAGCAGTGATAGGCCTGGCAGCAGGGGACCCAGCTTTCTCTGGAAGCCCATGGGAGGTCACCTCCACTTCAGCCTGGTCCTAGAAACCTCAATATCTCTCTTTCCAAGCCATGCTGCAGAGAGTAAGGAAATAAAAATAACCCAAAGTCCTCAGGCACTATTAACACAAAGCTGAAGCTTCTCTGTTACAGGCCGCTAAAGAAAGAGGAAAAAGATTGAGTTTTTCTCTCCTATTGGAAAATGTGGAGACTGTGGCTCCAAGCTGCCTATAGCTCTCTGAGCTGAAGGAGAAAAGGCTGAGAGGACTGAAGGACAGAATGAGGGATGAGAGAAAAGGAGCCACTAGCTTAAAGAACAGACAGGCATTTAGAGCTCTTTCTCTCCACCCACTTGCCAACTTACAGGTTGCTGGGGAAGTCCTGGGAATTCTGACCATTGCATTTCAAGCCCCAGAGACCAGCATTTGGAGCTTCCCTGTCTAAACTCCACAATATGGCAACCACCAAGACTAGCTGAAAACCAAGGACAAATCATTTGGGTAACTTTTCCACTGAGCCCTCACCTGTTCCAGCTACCGCCAAAGCACAAAATCTACCTTTCTGGTTGAAGTATACTTTAGCAACTAGCCAATCCACCCCACAGCAAAGCTTGTATATATGGGGAAGGGGGTGCAGTGACGAGGTCCTCCAGGTCTCTCTTACCCCTCATAATGCGTAGCTGCCATCCACTGACACAGAGAATTTCTTCAGAAAGCCTGAGGCCACCAGCCAGCAGCCTTAAGTGTTGTTCCAGTGTCCACCCCAGCCTGACAACATCATGCTCCCAGAACAGCAGTGACAACACTCATTACCCCAGGGACTCACAGTAAGTGCCTGGGGACTGAAGTAGGAGTTCTTATGGCACAAGAAAGCGACGTAAATTTCATTCTAGCAACTGAGAACAAAGAAGACTCTTCCTGCAGAAACAGCACTGCTGACAGAACCTAAATCTGAAGCAATTAGGTAGGGCTCTCAGTATAGGCTCCAATTTCCCTAGGGTCTCATGGGCCCAAAGATGACACTTGGTACCCATGGCAACCAGACCCATATCTGCGGGGAGAATTATGATCAGCATAGTTGAAAATTTTCTGAACACTGACAGGTTAAAGATTAGCTTTTCATGGAGGGGAGCCCTCTTTCTGGGAGAAGCTGTCTCTGACCCTGAGGCTAGGTAACCTACCCTTTAAGGAGCCCTGGTGGTTTAGTGGCTAAGGCATTTTGTTCCTAACTGAAAGGTCAATGGTTTGAACCCACCACCTGCCCCACAGAAGAAAAGACAAGGCAGTTTGCTTTCATAACCATTTACAGCCTTGGAAACCTAATGGGGGCCACTAGGAGTGGAAATTGACCCCATGGCAGTGAGGTTTTTTTTTGCGTTTACTAGGGCACCAGAGGGAGCTCTTGTGGAGTAGTGCCTAAGGGATTTGACTCTCTGTTCAAATCCACCAGCCACTCCTTGGAAGGAAGGTTGGGCAATCTACTATCCGTAGTGATACCACCTCAGAAACCCAAGGAGGGGTCGCTATGAGTCAGATCCGACTAGAGGGCAGTGAGTTTGGTTTGGTATGGTTGAGGGCACGAGAGGCCCCTGGGACTTCCTGCCTTGGATTCAGCACACATCTGCTTTCCTGTCTGTGGATGGACTGTGGGCTCCCTGAGAACCAGGCCATGTTCCTCTTGTACCCCCAGAGCCCAGCAAAATGCACTGAATCAGGGTGCAGAGGGCATCTCCCCAGACAAGTTGCTTTTTGCACCTTTGATGTCAACACCTTGGGGACAGGCCTAGGGTCGGAAACCGTTTGGGTCAGGCCTGGTTGAGCTAGCTGGAGTTAGGGGCTCCGTAGTCCCCCGGGCCTCCGCGGCTCCAGGGGGCACTGTGGACGCTCCAGCAGAGCTCATCGGGTGCCCTGGCTCCAGTCACCCGCGCAGTATACGCGATGGGCTCCGAGGTAGCGCAGCTGCTGGAGGCTGCAGACTTCGCAGCTCGCAAGCACCGGCAACAGCGGCGGAAGGACCCCGAAGGGACGCCCTACATCAACCACCCCATCGGTGGGCGCGCCGGCTGGGAAGCAACCGCTGCGGCGCCTGGGGGGTGGGGACGGGGAAGGGGACGCGAAGGACGCGCACCTCATAGAGCGCCTGCTTTACACCAAGTTTTGTGGCAGGCACTGTTCGTGCGATATGCTGTATAAGCCTCACAGCAATCCAGTGCGGTAGGCATGATTGTTCTTTTTTCAGTTGACACCCAGAACGGTAAGGGACTTCCCCAAGGTCATCTAGCTAGTAAAAGGCCTTATGTGGCTGATGGCAAACCCACAACAGGCCACTTTGCGACTCCTTCCGGTCTGACTGCTTCCTGCTTTGCCCCGTCAGGTGTGGCTAGGATCTTGACCCATGAAGCTGGAATCACTGACATTGTGGTGTTACAGGTAACTTTCCTCCTACTCTTCTAGGAGGCTGGGGCAGGGCTCAGGAGCCCCATTCAGCTCTGGGCACCCTTTGGCTGGTGTCACAGGACTGAGTGCCCCCCCCCCCCCCAGGCAGCCCTGCTTCATGACACGGTGGAGGACACAGACACCACCCTGGATGAGGTGGAGCTGCACTTTGGGGCACAGGTCCGGCACCTGGTGGAGGAGGTGACAGATGACAAGACCCTGCCCAAGCTGGAGAGAAAGCGGCTGCAGGTGGAACAAGCGACCCACAGCAGCCCAGGGGCCAAACTGGTGAAGCTGGCAGACAAGCTGTACAATTTGAGGGACCTGAATCGCTGCACCCCAGAGGGTATGCTCCCCACCTGCTCCCAGGGAAAAGGGAGGATGTCTGCTTTCTGGAGGCACAGGCTGGTCAGTTCCCCTTAAAAAGTCCTGTACTTGTTAATCCCCCAAACTCTTATTAGACCACTTTTTGATCATTTTTCATAAGTATAAATACCTTACGGTTTTTATACTTATGAAAAATAAATAAGGTATATAAAATAAGGTATAAATAAGGCTGGGCCAAAGGGAAATGTTCAGGACAAATCATTCCAACAGGAACTCATGGCCTTGCACCAAACCCTCCAGAAAATGGGTGAAAGCCAGTGTTGTTCTTCCCGTTAGATGAGCAGGTTTCTGTCCACTCTTATGCAGGATGGTCAGAACATCGAGTTCAAGAATACTTTGAGTGGGCAGCACAGGTGGTGAGAGGGCTTCAGGGAACAAACCAGCAACTAGAAGAGGCTCTAAAGCAGCTGTTCAAGGAGCGGGGACTGACACTCTGAACGGTGCTTGGAGCTATCGTCAGGTAGCACAGACTCCAGCCTTCCCCAGGCAGAGAAGATTCATACCCCTGCCTTTCACTTCCTCCTGAGCACCTGGTTCATTTAGCCCAGATAGCAGAGACCAAAAACACTTGCCTTTTCTCACTCTAAAGGTCTCCCATCAACTAAGCTGAGCCTGGATTATAGAATGCATCTCATCCACTTCTCACTACCCTTCTTCTCTAGGCCTTAGATCTGTTTGCCATTTTGCATGGCAGGATCTCTGGTCCCCTGGGAACTTGGACTTATATAAACTGGTATGTAAGTTATTATGGAAAATAAAACATTCTAGGTAAAGGTTTAAATTGCTGTTGCTCCTTCTCGGGTCTCCTGAGAGGGAGATCCGTAGGTGGGATGCTGGCCAAGACTGTGGGCTTTAACAGACAGGGTTCCAGTTGTGTGCCCTCTGTGGAGGTCCTTCAGGTTGACAGCCTCAGCCCCTCTGAGCTTGACTTCCTTATCAGTGAGATAAGGTGTGTAATTATCTGGGTTACATTATGTGGTGCTTGACATACAGACACAGTAAAGAGCAGGTCTGATTTGGCTTGGGGATCTGGATTACGAGTCTGAGGCCTCCCTGGTTAACCTGCTGTTGATCTGAGCCAAGATAATAGATACTTTTTTTTAAATTCATTTTTCATAAGTATAAATACCTTACTTACAGGAAAGTTGGAGATACAGTACAAATCACTTTTCCCATGAACCATGTGAGATTAAGTTACTGACCTTAGCACTTTGAAATACTTGAGTGTATTTTTCCTACAAGGACATTGTCTTATACAGTAAAACCTACCAAAGCTGGAACCTTGTATGGTAGGAACCTGTCAGAAAGTGAAAATGCAAATAGTTTCTTTCCTTTGATAGAGTGACAGAAAAGTAGTTGAGACTGCACCCTGTCAAAGGTGGAAAACGTGTGAAACCCAGAAAAACAAGGCTGTCCTTTTGAGTTCCGGCTCTCACAGGTTTCACTGTATAGGCAGTCCTGAGGTTATTAATGTCTAACTTACATACAATCTGTAGTTACAAATCAGCCCCTGTAAAGCCTATCGTACTAAAAATCTCAGGTACATACCTTGTGACATGCAGCAAAACAGTATAATTACTGTATTATTAAAGATGTTTTCCTGTATCTAAAAAAGGGTTTAATGTTTTTTATGCATAGAGAGGTACACTATATACTACGACAAACATTTGACCAACTGACGTTAGAAATGAACTACAGCTAACTCAATTTATGTACAAATTTGACTTAAAGACAGACTTAGGAACAGAACTTATTTGCAATCCAGGGACTGCCTGTATAAGCAAAATACAGCCACCAACATCAGATAAACAATACATTACTACCTTAAATCTGTGATAATAGGGCACTTCACAGTTTATACATACCTTGATCCCAGCAGCCCTACCGCCCTTCCTTCTCCATGGAAAGTTGACAGTTCAGTAGGTGAAGGGCTGCAGGAGAGATAGAACTCTATTTCCAGTGGTTGAATTTGCTTCTGCATTATGTCCTGGTTCCAGGTTTTATTGTAACCCCAGAACTGAGGCTTTGGTGCTAGAGCTCTATGGTAAAGGGTTGCTATTGTCTTAGATAGTAGGCCCATCTCCAAATTGTATGTGCAAAAGAATCACCTGGAGAGCTTGTTAAAAAGTTTGTTACACTGTGGGGAATTGCAGTCAATGTTATGAAACAAAATGTGTATGAAGTGCTGTATTGAAATCAATTTGCTCTGTAAACTTTCACCCAAGCCACAATAAAAAATAAAAATTCCTTGGCCTCTACTTCCAGAAATAGGTTCAACAGGTTTTGCCTAGGAATCTTTTTTTTTTTTTCTTTTTAGTCTACACAAAGTAAAATACAGTTTTGTTTCTAGCTCATGTTATGCATCAGCCTCCGGGCAGCTATGACACTGTGCTACGTCATCTCCAGCATCCAGGCTGAAGCAGCAGTCCTATTGAGGACAGGCCAGAGATCTGTGCTTTCAGCAAGCAATTCTGGTGATCCTGGACATTAAGCAACGCTGCCTTAAGTAGTTCTCAAAGGCTAGTGTTTAGGATTAAACGGCATTGTGTTGTTGTTGTGTTGTTATGTGCTGTCGAGTCGGACCTGACTCATAGCGACCCCTCCTTGGGTTTCTGAGGCAGTATCACTATGGAAATAGATTGTCCTATCTTCCTTCTGAGGAGTGGCTGGTGGGTTTGAACCGCCAGCCTTCTGGTTAGCAGTCAAGTGCTTTAGGCACTACGCTACCAGAGCTCCCAAACGGCATTGTAGTTCCTGGCAAATGAATGATTTCATTGTATATCTAAGATCTCCAAAGACAGTATCTTTTATTCTGCAATTTCCTAGGGGTTTACAGATTCTCCCCTATCATTAAATTCCAAATTTTATTACTAGCAAATAACACCTGCTGTGATATAATTGCTTAGCATCCTTTACTAGTATGATTAGAGCTCAGATTTATTCAGTTCTTACATATATGAAAAAGGAGCCCTGGTGATGCAGTGATTAAAATGCTTGGCTGCCAACTGAAAGGTCAGTGGTTCCAACCCACCAGCCACCCTGTGGGAGAAAGATGTGGCAATCTGCTTCTGTAAAGATTTATATAGCCTTGGAAACCCTACGGGGCAGTTCTACCCTTCCTGTAGGATCATTATGAGTTGGAGTGACAGCAGTGGGTTTGGTTTGAGATATATGTACCAGGCACCATGCTAAGCACTTCCTATTGATGTTTCTTCCACTATAATATAGACACACAGTTGAGGAAACAGACTTTAGAGGTTTAGAATCATGCATAAGGTGGTGAAACTGGAATCTGAACCCAGGCAATATATATAATATGCTATGCTATACTGAAGGACCTCGGAAGGAAGGTTGGGCAATCCTACTTCCGTAGTGATACTGCCTCGGAAACCCAAGGAGGGGTCGCTATGAGTCAGGTTTGACTCGACGGCACATAACAACAACAACAACAACATACTGAAGGAGACCTGGTGGTGCAATAGTTAAAGCGCTCAGATGTGAACTGAAAGGTCTTGGTTCAGACCCACCAGAGTCTGCATGAGAAAGATGCAGCAGTCTGCTCCTGTAAAGATGACAGCCTGGGAAACCCTATGGGACAGTTCTATGTCATACAGGGTTGCTGCAAGTTAGAATCCACTGATGGCATGTAACAACATACTATACTGAATGCAGTATAATCTCCTGACCCACAGAGACCACTGAACCCGGAATCTCTCCACAGTCCCCGACTGACAGGATTCCATGTGCTGGGGCCTGGTGTTGGCAGCAATAATGTTGGATGGCCGGAAAGAACTCAGCTGTGTCAGCCTTGACTCTAGGTAGTAGCTAGGCAGCAGGTCCCAGTGACTTCCTCTGAGGGCTCTAAAGCAAGCTTTTCTCCTAAAGCAATTGTAACCTTTGATTTATATACTGCAAGTTATCTTCTCCAAATCTGTTGAAACTTGAGGTTTTCTGTCATATAGAAACTTTTCAATATTTTTTTTTTATAGTAAATTCTGTTTATTTTGTCCCTTATGTCTTTCAGGCTTCTTGTTATTTTTCAGAAAGGCTGCCCCACACCAGAGGTATAAAAATAGCCTATATTTTCTTCAGTAATTGTGTAGATTTATTTATTTATTTTTCCACCTGGATTTTTGTGTAAGCTGTGAGGTAGAGCTCTGTAACTTTAATAGCCAGCCAGTTGTCTCAAAATACTATTTATTAAACAATCCATCTTTGCCCCCACTTGAAATACCACTTTGGTCATAAACTAAATTCTCAGATACTTGGGTCTGTTTTTGGACTCTGTTTTGTTCCACTCTGTGGTCTGCCTGAGCCCACTCCAGTACCATACTGATTTAATCCATGCTAGCATCACAGTCGTCCTGGAAATCTGGCAAGAAAAGTACATTTTCCCACCTCTCCAAGCAATATTAGCTCATTGTTCAAAACTGTCTTAGTATTCTCACACATTTACTCTTCCAAATGAACTTTAGAGATGTTCAAACTCCAAAAATCTCCATTCTCTCTGGAATTACATCACCTTTATGGGTTAATTTCGGGAGAAACAAAATCTTTACAAGAACATGATATGTATTTCGTTTGGTTGACTTACACAATGCTCCTATTAGTCTTCAGTTGATCCTCTTAAGATTTTTTAGGTAGGCACTTCTATCATCTGCAAATAATGACAGTGGTAACACCCCCTGCCCTCATCTGCCATGTTGCAGGGTTAGCAGTGCCAGAACCAGGCTAAAGTATAGGATGGTCCTGGCTGGTTTCTGACTTCAGTGGGAATGCCTGTGGTGTTTGAGTCTAGGATGCTGTTCACTATCGGTTTCTGACAGAGACCTTTTCTAGATTAGGATATTTCTTCCTAGCCTTAGCTTACTAAGAGTTTTAATAAGAGATGGATTTAATTTTTACCAAGTAGCTTTTCAGCATCTATAAAGACTATCATAAATTCTTCTCTGTTAACTGAAGCTGAAATGAAGGCTGGTGAGCAGCTGTACTGCCTCCGGACCCCTAGTCCCTATGCCAGGAACAGAATGCTTCTAGGAAGGATGTACTGGAGGTGAAGCTTCAAGGCCTGACTATAGAGATGCTGCTGAATGCCTTTTCCAGGTGCCCACGCACACGGGGTCTTAGAGGCTTCACTTTCTTTCCAGGGAAAGCAAGTTTGCTAGCTCGAACCCCCCATGACAGCAAGGGGCTCTTGGGGACAATGGTGTATAAAGCACAGGAACCAAAGCAGGAATCAGGTAGGGTGAGGACTCCCCACACCTGCTGCCACCCCACAAATCAGCACACAGACCAAGTGCCCAGTATGAGATGGGGATTTGGGTACCTGAAGTGTCTGATGACCTCTGGCCATGACACAGTGTCTAGTCTTTACAGAGTCCTTCCTGCTGGACTGCACCCTCGGGCCTTCACAGAAAGCAGCTGGGCCTTCTCTTAG